GCGAGCTGGGGGGCCTGTATAGCCGACTTGGACGCTTTGAGAACGAAAAAACGAAACATAGTGAAAATGTGCGTTTCCTGTCGGGAATGGAAGGATTTGGGCATCTTCGGGCTCTCCTGGAGGCCCTCCTGGGCCGTCTTGGGAGCCTCCTGGCCTGCCTTGGGGACCTCTGGGGCTGTCTCAGGGCTCCCAAGGGTGCTCTGAGGCCGTCTTGGCGTCCCCTAGAGCCTTTCGGAGCCGTCCCGTGTGCCATTATTGGCTGCTCTTCGGGCTGTCTTGGGTGCGTCTTGGGCCGCCTCAGGCGCCTCTGGAGCCGTCCCGGGGCCATGTGGGGCCGTGTGGGAGGGAGCCCTCCTGGGGCCCTCTGGGCGCGTCTTGGCGAGCTGGGAGGCCTGTATGACCGTCTTGGACGCTGCGAGGGCCAGAACATAATGAAAATGTGCGTTTCCAGTCGGGAATGGGACGGTTTGGGCCTCTTGGGGCTCTCCTGGAGGCCCTCCTGGGCCGTCTTGGGAGCCTCCTGGCCTGCCTTGTGGGCCTCTAGGGCTGTCTTGGTGCTCCCAAGGGTGCTCTGAGGCCGTCTTGGCGCCCCCTGGAGCCTCTCGGAGCCGTCCCGAGGCCGTTTTGGGAGCATCTGCGCCCCGTAGGGCGCCCCGGAGGGCCCGTGGAGTGGGACCTCGCACGCGCGGGCCCCTGTATTGTAGAAGAGACTAGGGCGAACCCGCGGACTTCGTCCACGACCAGCAGGTCCCCCTGGCGCGCCTCCACGTTGGGCCCCCGCCCAAGAGAAAGGCACCCCGAAGCCTTCAGTAACTTTTGTTCGGCCGCTTTTCCGACGTTGGAAGGCGGGCGCTTCCTCCTCTTCGTCCGCCTTCCGCTCCACGTCCGCCTGGGCAACCTTCGGAGCGTCACAGACGGCTATGGTGGGTCCGCGGTTTGCCTCTCGCCGCTTGTCTGCTCGCCCTGATTTGAACAACAATGTGGAAAAAACCTGGGGCCTAGAAAAGAGTCACCAGAAGGGCTCTGGTGACCTTCTTCCAGTTGCGTTTTCGAAACCTGATGGCGGGCGCTGCCGTCGCCTTGGGAACTGTTTAGGGGCCTCTCGGGGTGTCTTTTCGGCCTCCTGGGGGCCTCATGGGGCCCTCTTGGGCCGTCTTGCGGCCTCCTGGTGGATTCTTGGGGCCCTCTTGGGCCGTCTTGGGTGCCTCTCGGAGCCGTCTGGGGCCGTCTTGGGCGCCTGTGGGGCCGTCTTGGGACCGTCTGGAAGCCCTCGTGGGCCATGTTCGGCCGCTCTTGGGGTTGTCTTGGGTGCTTCTTGGGCTGTCACGGGCGCTACAGGAGCTGTCCAGGGGCCGTCTGGGGCCGTCGTGGGGGTCCTCCTCAGGCGTCTTGGGGCGATCTTGGGAGCCTGTATTGTCGTCTGGGACGTTGGGACGTTTTACAAACGAAAAACACGGGAAGTACGAACATGTACGTTTTCCCTCGGGCTTGACATGATTTGTGCTTGTGCGGGCTGTGTCGGGCGTCTTCTGGGAGCCCACTTGGGGCGTTTTGGGAGCCTCTTGGGCCGTGTGGAAGCGAACTTGAGCGTCTCCGAGCGCTTTGGGACCGCCACGGAGGCCCTCTTGAACCGTCCCTGGCCGTCTTGGGGCTCTGTTGGAAGGTCCCTGCGATATAATAGAGACCAGGGCTGACCCGTGGCCAACGGCCACAACAAGTTGTTTGGGCACAAGTGGGTCCGCACAATTTCTGAACAGACCGCCCCCCCGGGCGCAAATGTTTAGGAAGTGTCTGGGGCCACCCCGCTCCATCTTCACTGTGCATGACGCTGCTGCTCGGGATCCGCGCTGGCACACTGACTTGGCGTCGTCGCCGTTGTGATCGTGGTCGTCGGCTCAGTCGCGTCGTCGTCGCTGTCGCTGTCGTCGTCGTCGTCGTCGTCGCCGTCGTCATCTCCGTTGTCGCCGGCGACGTCGCCCTCCTCCTCCTCCTCCTCCTCCCTTTCCTCCTCCTCCTCATCCTCCTCCTCCTCCTCCTCCTCCTCCTCCTCCGTAGCCATTTTGGCTCAAGCCATTTTGGCTCAAGTGCGAGGGCGATTCGCCCGATCACCAGTTTTGCAGTGCTGGTCTGCCCCAGCAACTGCTACATCTCACGCACGCCTGCGTCAGCCTGCCCAGGCGGCGCAGGCTTCCTTCCGAAGCACGCCTGAGGAGCGGGCAGCAGTGGCATGGCAGGCGATGGGCCCCAGAAGCTCAACCGCCATGCGCAGCGGCGCCGCGAGCAGGCTAAGGACTGGTGCTGCAAGTTCTGCGTCCACCCGATCACGCAGAACCAGTGGTGGAATCGGTCCGACACGGTGTCGTGCTCCAAGTGCGGGACGGCCAAGGCGGTGGCATTCATGTGTGTTCGCCCGCCGCCTGGACCGTCCACCAAGCGTGCCAAGCCGCCAGCAGCTAATCCATCGGGCAACGGCTCCACTGCGGTGCCGCCGTGGGTCAATGACAAGCTGGAGGCCTTGGCAAAGGAGCTTGCCAGCACCAAGGCCAAGCTGGCCGAGACCACCAGCAAGCTGCAGGGGCCGTTCATGGAGGTCGACGAGGGCGCAGAGCACGGTGAGGGCCAGGGTGACTCCTTGGACCAGAAGCGGGCTCGCCTCGAGGAGGTCGACGCCGCGCTGCGGGCCATCGCGGGCTCCAGCGAGGTCCTGTTCGAGACGGCTCGTGTCGAGCTGGAGGACACTCGCAAGAAGCTCAGCGCGGAGCTGGCGGCTGCGAAGCCCGTCCCAGCGCAGCTGCGCACCTTGTCCTTCAAGCTGGGCAAGCTCGAGCAGAAGCGCGCCAAGCAGGAGGAGGCCCTGCAGACGGCCAAGGACAAGGTCGTGCAGGCCAATAAGGAGGTGGATGAGGCCACGCAGCAGATCGCCGAGTCCGACGCGGCGATCTTGGAGCTCCAGCAGGAGCAGACGCGGCTTGCCGCCACGCTCCCTCGGCCACCAGCTGGAGGCGTCTCGCCGAAGGCTGACATCGTCGAGGGGCTCGGCGTCACCATCGAGAAGATGGGCGCGATGTTGGCAGAGCTCGGCGATAGCGGGGTGCTCGCGGAGAAGCTCGGCGCGGTGCTGGGCGAGGTCCGTGAGTACGAGAAGCGTAAGGTCGAGGCCGCAGCGCAGGATGCCAAGGCTGCAGCCGAGGCAAGGGCGACTCAGGCCAAGGCCGAGCCCGTGCCCAGCCAGGGCGCCAAGGGGCCGGAGGCAGGCCCTGACCTCCCAGACCCCGACACGGCGACCGAGGAGGAGCTGCGCGAGTTCCTCTCCAGCTCGGGCGTGGACCCGTCCCAGGAGAGCTCGGAGCTCCGCGGCCAGGTGCGCAAGATCACCGACGCGCTGGGCGGCTGGCGCGAGGTCAAGAGGGCCAAGGTGGTGTCTGCTGCCTAGCCTGGTGCGAGCGCTGCTGCTCCTGGCGCTCCTGCCGCTGGCAAGGGCATCTGGCACCATCGGCACGGTTGCTGGGGGGCTGGACGCCAACCCGCTGTTCGGGCAGGCGGCGGCGGCGGCAGGCCCCAGCCGCTCCCCAGCGGCCCAGGCCGAGGCCAGCGCCGCCCGCAGCAAGCGGCGGGCCCAGCTGCTGGCGCGCGTTGGAGCGCGCGAGAAGGCCTTGGCCAAGGCGAGCGCGCGCCAGCGCCGAGGCAAGGCCTCCAGCAAGGTCGGCCTGTCTACGGCCGATCGAGACGTACTGCTTCCTCGACGAGCAGGGCAGAATGCCCCGCCAGATTTTGATTCCCGCGATCGCGGAGGCCGTCTGGTCGACAACGGGGAGGTTTGCTCAGGCATTGGATCTGCTGGGCTTCTGGCTGGGACAACTGGCGGAGGTGATGGCAAGGATGATGCTTGGGGCCGCCCATTCTCTTTTTCTGACCCGGGTGCAGATGATGATGGTAATCATGTTCCTGACCGTAAGGGCTCTGTTGTGACTTTCAATTGCTCTGAGGAGGGTCAGCTGTTGCGCTTCCTTGATTCCTGCGAGCACACTGTGGTGGCTATACAAGAGCACCACGTCGCAGAGGATCGTCTTCCAGACCTGCAGCATCGAGCCTTGGACCCTGGCTGGCATGGAGTCTGGAGCTCGGCCACCAAGACGGGCAACCAGGAGGGCACTCAGGCGGGCCTGGCCATCCTGGCTAAGGGAGACGTGCTGGTCACGGCCCCCCCAGGGCGCTCGACGCCCCATATGGCGAATGGGAGAGCGCTGGCTGCCCACGTCCATTGGGGGGTGCCTGGGGGATTCATTATGATTTCAACATATCTATATGTGAATGAAGGCCTCTCTGATAATAACGTTCGCATCTTGGCTGAGATCTGCGAGTACATTGAAGTTGTCAACGCAATGGGTCTTGATTGGATCGTAGCGGGAGACTTCAACCTTGAGCAGGCTGAGTTCGGGGACATGGAATGGCTGTATGGATTGGGAGGTGCGCTGGCACGCCCATCAGTCTCGACGTGCAGGCAGTCGTTGCCAGGCAGGACGATAGACTATTTCCTGATGACCACCAATCTGCTCCCCAGAACGAGCCGCCCGTATGTGCAGGAAAATGGAGACACATTCCCACACCTGCCAGTAGTATTACCTATCATGGGGAAGGATGTTGTTCTGAAGACTCGCACGCTGGTCAGCCCGAAGCGCCCTTCGAGACAGCCGAAGCCTGGGTGCGCTAGATACCCTCTGAACTGGAGCCAGGTCAATCGTATTATAGATCAAGCGATTGATAATCCCACATTGGGTGCTGCATGGGATGCAGTCTTGGCACAGCTGGAGATAGAGTTGCTTGCCAGATATGATATTGTCGGATCTCACACAGAAGCTTATCGAGGCAGAGGCGGAGACACCCAAATGCAGTATACTAAGTTGCGTTGGGAGCCGCCCAGGCGCAGAGGTGAGCAGACAACACGAGACAGAGCTCGGAGAGCAGCAGGCCGATGGGCCCGCCATTTACGCCGCTATAAGGAGAGCCTTGTCAATCAGACTGTGCTGCTATGCCATCAGGAGCGGGCGGGCACGATGTCCAACAAGGCTTTCGACAAGTTGGCTCGCATGCTAGTGGACATCACCAAGTTCATGGCAAGGATTCGCAACGATCCTTTACGTGACGCCTTGGATGATGATGCTCGGAACTTCTTCGACATGGACATCGGTTTTGTCACTAGTGGTAGCACGAATCACATGATTGAAAGTATCATCGATCGGGCGGACGCTTGCCAGAAGCGCCAGAATGACACGGCTCTAGCGTGTTGGCGAGAGTGGGCGGCTTCGTCGTTCAAAGGTGGAGGTCGTTTCGCACACCGTCACACTCGAGGCCGCGCACTTCAGGAAGTTTGCGCTGCCTGCCTGCTTCCTGGTTCGGAGGCGCAGCCATTCAAGATGGCGGACAGAGCCATGCGAGAGTGGGACACCATATGGCACATGCATGATCTTCCTGAGCCAGTTCCACACGGGTCTGATCAGTGGGACGATCTACCACATATATCCTTGGACGATATCAAGCGTGCGATCTTGCAGTTCCCTTGGACCACGGGCATCGGGCACTTCGAGTTTGCGCCCCGAGCGTTCTGGTTCGTTTCGGACGCCGGCCTGGAGTCGCTGGCGCGCCTGTTCATGCGATGTGAAAAGCTTCTGATATGGCCGTCGTCTCGCATTCTCACCCAGCTTGTGCGTATTCCGAAGTCCACAGGCGGCTGCAGGCTGATCGCCCTAATGCACACCCTCACTCGGATATGGGGACGTGTTCGCCGTCCAACAGCTGTCGCTGGGAGCGTGACCACGCGCATCCCACGGTGTGGGGGACGGGTCCAGGGCGATCGTCCAGCGACAGCGCCTTCTCTTTAAATTTAGCTTCGGAGATTGCGCACGAATTGCGAGAGGATTGTGTAACTGTTTTCATAGACATGGTGAAATGTTATGAATGTGTAGACCTCCAGGCCCTCTTAGGGGAGGCCAGGGCCACAGGGTTCCCGCTCCGCTTGGCCTGGATGGCCATCCAGAACTACACCCAGCCTAGAGCCCTTAGAGCCTTTGGTAGCTTGTCGTACTCGGTTTCCACGGCCCAAGGGATCTTAGCTGGGTGTTCGCTAGCCACAACTCTGCTCACGGTGCTTCTGTATAGAAGTTTGAACCTGTCGGTGGAGCGATTCCCATCAGTGGAACCCAGGGACCTGATGGATGACGTGAGTTTTAACTGGGCGGGCAGACGCCGCCAAGGCAAAGATCCAGGAGAGAGCTCGCATGTGCTAGCGCAAGCGGTTCAGTCTTTCTGTCACGATATTGCCCCCCTCGGTTTGCGAGCGCAGGCGAATAAGAGCGGGTTTGTGGCCAACACTTGTGCTGCTCGAGACACATTCGCACGGCACATTTCGCAGCTAGGTTTTCGCGGCAAGCACGGCATGCGTAATCTAGGGCACGAGATGCACGGAGTCAAGGTTCTGCGGGTCCAAGAGAAGGCCCGACTTCGGGTCTTGCAGTCCAAGAGGCGTAAGGTCTGGGGGCTCCGCCAGGCTCAACCAGAGGCCGTCAAGGCCCTTTGGCGAACGGGGCTCCTCCCAGCAGCCAGCCACGGTGGTGGCGTTAGCGGCGTGTCCGACGTTTCTCTTCGAGAGCTTCGAACGTTTGCGGGAGGAATGGTAGGAGCTAAGCCCAAGTCCTGCCTCACTACCTATCTGTGCACGCAAAAGGACGATAGGTTCGACCCTGTGTTCGATGCTTCGGTTCCGCTTGTTGTGAGGTTTGCTACTTGTGTCTGGGAAGCCAGGGTCGTCCCTTCACGTCTTGCTCGAGCTTGGCTCGCGATTAAAGACAGAATTCAGCACAATGCGGCGTGGAAGTATGCCAGGGGTCCTATTTCTTCGGTATGGTATACGCTCCTTCGGATAGGTTGGTCAATGTCGGGACCCACCACCTTAGTGAGCGACGAGGGCTGGCCCATCGACCTGCTCCGTGTATGTCCTCAGGACGTGCGCGTTTTCCTGGAGCAGGGAATTCGGAGGTGGCAGGCTGCGAGGGTCCTGGCCCATTTCCCCGACAACGAGGGGCACACTGTTTGGCGTCGTGCGCTTCGAAAATCAGTGCTTGCTCTCCGTGATGGGGGCCGCCGTGGGGCGCTGCGGTCCTTGTGGGCTGCGGGGGTCTGGACTCCAGAGCGCCTCCATTCGATTAATTTGCGCCCGACGCCGTTGTGCTTTGTGTGTAAAGAACAGGTCGGCACCGAGGCCCACCAGTGGTGGGGTTGCGATGGCATGCTTGAGTGTAGGCCCGAGGAAGCTATGCCCGACGATGTCCTGGAGCACCGTGCCAGCTTGGTCAAGAGCTACCAGACAGATAACGGCAAGGAAGCTTTCTTTTTAAATTATGGGCTGCCGCCCTTGCCGCTTTTTCCAGAGCCAGTGGCCGACTCGCTTCCGACGATGGGGTGGGGTGACTGGCGGGGAGTCTGGGGGCCGAAGGTGTACACGGACGGGTCAGGCCTGGCGAATTCGATGGAAGGCCTGACGCGTTGTGGCTGGGCCGTGGTCCAACTAGATGAGTCTGGCTGTGTAGTCAGAGCGATCTACGGCCCGCTTCCAGGTAGGCTTCAGACCGTCCCGAGGGCGGAACATTATGCTGCCCTACGAGCCATCCAGATCGCAGCGCACCCAGCAGAGATTGTGTCTGATCATCTTAGTTTGGTGAAGACAGGTCGGCAGCTCTCTTCTTTGTGTGAATCAGGTGCTTCCCGTCAGGCGTTTATTTGGAGGCAGATCAGGCACGAGATCGGGCAGTCGGAGCCTCCCATCTTTCGCTGGACGAGCGCCCATCGTTCCCTGGACGACGTGTTGCCCCTTGGGGCGGCCGAAGTTTTTGATTTCGTCGGAAACGAATGGGCCGATTATTTTGCAAAATTGGGCTCGCAGTCCCATGCAGTAGCGCAGGTCCTCGTTGATGTGCACAAATCCAGATTGCAGGTCGCTCGTAAGGACGGTGAGGCCTTTGCCTGGATGGTCCAGGCGGCCGCGCGGAAGGCGGAGCAGCTGCAGCCAGCTGCCGACGCCCCAGCGCCCCGCAAGGCCACCCCTGCTCCTTCGCTTTCTGTCACATCTCACACGATGATGTTCTGTAAAGCTATCTCAGAGTACAGGTGTTCGTCGTGCAATCGTTTCGCTCGCACTGCCCTGTCCTATCGTTTTTTGCGAAACTCGGCTTGCGCTCCCTCGGCCCTTCATCGGGCCACTGCGGAGCGCTTCTTCCGTTTGACCCCCCAGCACTACGTGTCAGACTCGACACCGTCGGTGCAGGTGGCGGTCGAGGCCGCAGGAGGCCCGTTCCATGAGGAGGAAGGAGGTGTGCTGCCTGCCGCTGCTGCTGCTGACGGGGTGGTGGAGGTGTGCACTTCTCTCGGACATCCCGCCGAACGATTCGGCCCCGCCGTTATTTGTTTAGCCTGCGGGGCCTTTTCGATAAATGGTGGTCGAAATCCGAAACTTACGACGAAGGCCTGTAAAGGCCACTCTCCCGTGGCCTCAACGCGGGCCAACGAGGAGAGCAATATTTCTAGGGTCCTTAGGGGCCTGCATCCCCGATCGGGCGAACCCTTGTCGTTCGATTGATGCGTGTGCTGCGCCTCGCCACTCTCAGCCTACATTTCCGCTGAGATGGTGGCCGAGCCTCGGCACATAAGAGCTGGGCACGGGTGGCCAATGTCCCACCTGCCTGGCTTCTCACGCTCCTGCTGGGGGGTGTCAGTGACCCTGACACTTCTTTCATCGCTGCCTGCCTCCTCCTCCTCCTCCTGCTCCTCCGGCGCCAGCCTCGACGTAGCATTGAGGAGCCGTCGTGGCCTTGAGGGTCGGCACGTGCATGCGACGAAAACCACCAGAATGGGGCGCGGAGCAGCGGTGGGCCTTGCTGAGCGTCCTAGTTTGGTCTCCTGCAGGTACTGCTTGTTTGACGTGTGCTTGCTTGCTGCTGGCGGTAAGCGCTCTTTTCCGACCCCGTTAGCGCTTGGGAGCCTCGGCGTTCAGAGCTTTGGGTCCGTCACCGTTCGCTCTTGAAGTCTTCACGCTAGTGCTTGGGAGCCTCGGCGTTCAGAGCTTGAAGTGCGTCACCGCTCGCTCTGGAAGTCTTCACGTTCAGAGGGTCGTACGTCATCTAGACCCTGGTGGGGCTGTGTTCGGGGTTGTCTGGGGCCTCCTCCGCGTCCTCCTCCTTCTCCTGCTCCTCCTTCTCCTCCTCCTCCGCCTCCTCGTCCTCCTCATCCTGTGTCCCTGGATACTTAATCTGCTCGGTCTCCGATCGCCGATCGTGGACGCTATGACGACGCTCCCCAGAAGGCGAGCATCCAAGGCCGTCCAAAGCGGCTCTTCTGGGCCTGCGATCTGCGTATCGCCTCTCGTCAGCCCCCCTCTGACGGAGGCAAGTTCGAAGCCACTTAGGGCGTCATGGGGGCCGGCTGTTTGATGCCTGCGATATGCCTCTCGCCTGTCGTCCGCCCCCCCTCTCTTGGAGGCAATTTTGAAGCCACTTAGGGCCCTTGGAGGCCGTTTAGGGAACTCTTGGGCTTCTTTTTGGCTTCCTGGGAGCCTCTTGAAGCCCTCTTGGGCCGTCTTGTGTGCCTTTTGGGCCATCTTGGAGCCGTCTTGGGCCGTCTTGGGCTGTCTTGGGCGGTTTTCGGGCCGTCTTGGGCCGTCTTGGGCGGCTCTTGGGGCTGTTCTGGGTGACTCTTGGGTCGACTTAAGCGCCTCTTGGACCGTCCTGGGGCCGTCTTGGATCGTCGTGGGGCCCTCACGGGGGCATCTTGAGGCGATCTTGGGGGCCGGTCTGGCCGTCGTGGACGCGTCGGAGACGGGAAGCACAAGAATGCCCAACATGTATGGTTTCCGAAGGGACTGTGGCGATTCTTGCCCCTTGGGGCTTTCCTCCAGAGCCGTCGTGAGAGCCTCGTGGCCTGCGTTAGGGGCTTCTGGGACCATCGGGGCGGCCTCTAGAGCGGGTCGGAGCCGTCTTTGGGCCGTCGAGGCGGTCTCTTGAGCGTCTCGGAACCGTCTTGGGGCCGTCGGGGCGCCGTCGCGAGCGGCTCGCGGCCGTCGGCCACTCCATTTGTGCAGAAACTCTTCTCGCACGCAGCGTTCCCGGCATTGTAGGAGGGACTTGGGCTGACCCTTGGATTACCGTCCACCAATGCCAGTCGGCAGCGTGCACCTGCTGCTGATCATTGTTTCGGGGTGCGCTGTTTGTTTAACGAATGACGGCGACCAGAGCAGCGCTAGCAATATCAGCGGCAGCAGATCCAGAGGCATGGGCAGCAGCAACAACCGTGGCTCCACCCTCCTCCTCCTCCTCCTCCTCCTCCTCCTCCTCCTCCTCCTCCTCCTTTTCCTCCTCCTCCTCCTCCTCCGCCTCCTCCGCCTTTTCCTCCTCCTCCTCGTCCTCCTCCGCCTCCTCCGCCTTTTCCTCCTCTCCTCCTCCTCTCCTCCCTCCCCTCCTCCCCCTCCACCTCCTCGTCCTCCTCCCCTACTCCCCTCCCGCCGCTCCCCCTCTCCACCTCTTCCCCTGCGGGAAGCCGTCGACTCGGACATCCGCGGAAAGAGCGCCTGAGCAAGAGAACGAAGACGGAGAGTAGAAGGAAGAATGTCAAGGCAATTGAAGATAATAA